CACACACACACACACACACACACACACACACACACACACACAAGCTGGGATTCTTGAACTCTGTACATGTGCAGAAGGTAATTCTGCACGTGCATAGCAAGGTTACTGATTTTTCTCTCTGACCGCATACTTTTTTTTACAGATCTAGTTTTCACTAATTTTGGAGATTTGGTCATTTTTGGCTTCCATGGCAGAACCAGACATCCATATCAAATGGGCTATACCATGATTAACTGTTTTGGCACTCTAATTCAATTTGAAATATCTATACCACACTTTATGAACCCATAAATCTAAAGCCAGCCTACAAATCATTAAAACCATATAATGCAAAGTGACGAGCTCATCTCTTGGTGGAAGGGTGGCGAAGAGAGACAGCGGAAGACATGAGGCCAGCTAACAGACAACAATAGCACATAATTTTTTTCAGAAAACATCTGGGTTACTCAAAATGAGGTAACATATACTAGCACACTGCTCTGTTCCCAATAACCCAGGAGTTTAAAAAATGGGTTGTTGTTGCGTATGAACCACATGTTAAAAGTCTCTTCCCAACAATTCTGTATCCTGTTGCCCCTGTTGCCTTTATGTCTCGGTTGTAAATATGGCTGCAGTGGGCATAGGGATTTTGTACAGAATTGCTATCTCTGTCTGTATTCAAGATCATTTTTAACACCAAAGACAGGGGAAGAAACAGGTTTTAAGCATCCCCAAGGGAAATATTTGTATTACACTTTTGTATATTGGCTAAGATCCTGCTCATTCATGTAAAGGCAATACAAATCTTACATACTTTCATCTATTCTTGCCACACACAGTTCTTTGCACAGAACTATGCAAAGATAGATTCATGTTAAATAAGACATCAGCTCCCCTGTGGTGAGAAAGAAAGGGAATGGCAGACAAGGGCAGACATAGGGAATCTCTCTCCCTCAGTCCAACCCTGCTGAAAGTCTACATAAATTTGCTGTTTCCCTCTTCATCCTTTTAACCTTGTGTGTTACATCTTTTTAGAGTGTCAAGTCTGCAGGCATCTTTTTTTGCTAACTGATTATAAACCAATCTGGGAGCCCTTCTTGGCTGCAGAGTGGGATTAAAAATACAATAAATAAAGCAAATATTACCTTAGTCTTAAATAAACATAGTTGGATTGTTCATCTCCAGTGATACTATCAGTATGAAGACTTCATCCAAAACTTTATTAAGATGAGAAAAGCATTTCTCTTTTCATCACTATAATCTTTCATATATTTCACAATGGGCAAGACTCAAAATAATCAATACACAGGAATCAAACATTTCTAATGAGAATGAAAAACATGCATAAAGGATGCCAAAGTGGGAAACATGCATGCCAACACTACTGCTTCAGCTGTAAGCACCAGCTCCTGTTGTACTTAGTTAACAGAGAACATAGAATGCTAGGTACACCCTGGAGGAGGCATTTTAAAATGCAGGCATTTTAAAAATGCAAATGCAAACCCTTGAACCATGGAATCAGTCCTTTATGACTACCAGGAGATATGAGAAAAGGAAAACAGGAAAGGGAAGACCATGCTTTAAAGTTCTAACCACAGATTTAGACTATGTCAAATGAGACATTTTACTGCATGGATAATACATGTGGCTAAACAAACTGATGTACAATCATGCATAATAAATAAATAAAATGATCTACACGTGATTTGCTTGTTGCTTCCTACACAAATCCTACCCGTGTAGGAAAATGTAATTTATCAAGTGGTCCTCATATTAAAAAAAAAATGTTACCATCATGCTTTGACAGAAGTACACATTTGTGTTTTCAGACAATAAATGCCTAGTACTATAAAAGTGAAGGAACTTGGAAAACATTCAAGATGATGAATTGCCAGGTTTGTTTTTATAGCAACCAGAAAGTAAGCAGACGCTTTTGCCAAACTGGTAACACAGATTCCTTGACGGCTTCTACAAAATCCTAACAGCTGAGGTCAGCTCTTTAAAAAGCTAAGCTGCACTAACAGCTGATTTAAAACAGTTAATGACTCCTACTTGTGGTGAAAGGAGAGGAAAAGATTTATTACTGTGATATTTGTGGGGAAAGAAGCAACTATTTACACAGTGCTGAGATTAAATAATATGTAATTAAAGTAAACATTAACAGTTAGGGAAGTGATTTCTGCTATATCTACACAGCGCAAAGACCTCCACCCACAAAAGAGTCTTCATTAATCCAATGGAGGGAGATGATCTGTGTGCATGTCTATACAAATGTTGAATGCAAGAGCTCTGTGTGTACACTGGCGATTTAATCTTTTTTTAAAAACATAGTTAACATGTAGGAAATATCTGATTAATTATATTCACCATGAGATACCACTTTCAGTCAATAATTTTCCCCTGAAGCACCAGATTTTTAATATCTCACTATTTTTTAAAAAAATAAAGTATGCTATTTAGAAGCATATTCTATATGTATACTGTGCCCAAGCAATTTCAAGATGAATGGGCTCCTCTCATAAATCCAGTTACATGTGTTGAACACCCACTGAAATCAGTAGGATGATATGGCTTTCTGCAGAATTGTCGATGTGTTGGTTGTGAAAATTGGGTCTAAAATGCTAACAGTAATTGTTAATTTTACACTCAAAGATGTTGGCACATTAAAAATCTACATTACCTCATAATCAGCTTCAGTAGGCCCTGGCTAACCATCATGCTGGCTCAAGTACCAACTCTGTGGTCACAGAATTCCAGATGGGGACACAGATGAGGAATGAAGTCATGCCAGTAACTTTCAAGTATTAGGTAACGGATGATACGAAAGATGCAACAGCAATTAACTCAGATGGAAGCAAGACAAACACATGGTGCGACAGACAGAGTTGATGGTAACCTGCCAAAAGGAGTTAGTAAACTGAATTCACTGAATCTATGCAAAAGTTAAATATTAACAGATTATTTCAGTGGTGTCATTCAAACTACCACTGAAGTTTCTTTTCCAACCCCACAGGCTGTTAGCATACCTAGCAGTTATCTCTAATGCCAATTATGCATGAAGTACTGTTAGTGCACTGGGGTAAAGCCACCTTACAGGATTAGAATTGTCTAAGCATAGATGGTGTATTCTCTCACAGCAGCTAACTGAACCACATTACTATGTATAATTTTATGGGATAATATATACTAATGCTTATTGCATGATTATTGCAAGAAATAATTTCTGAACAATTAACATCATGCATCCCTTGGCCTTTAAAGCTATAAACAATACTGTTTTCATATAGTGTGTACTTCTTAACATCAATAGCAGTCCACAAAACAATACTATTTTTTCATTTCAATTTGTCACAGGTCACACCATCAATTATTTCAATATCCAAGTGGTCCAGTACCATGGACTTCCCCTCTGCTCCCCTGAGCATTCTTAGCCTTTAAAGAGTTGTGATAATAGTAAGAATGTACCATGTCTTTTGAAGCAATATGTCAAAAGACAATGATTTATTATGTGGAAAATGAATGCTTAGGGATTTTTTGTTTAAACCATATTTAGATTCAAGGATACCTGTAGAAATCAAGAATTAGGAATCACATAGGTATGGCCCTACTAATTCCCCTTTTAGAAAATAAATTTATATGTATTAAGAGAGCCAGAAGCTACAGGGCTGATACCATTAAAAGAGTCAAACATCTGGGTGCTTGTTCTGTTAGAAGGGGGCTTCGAAATCATTAAAACAGAGTGCCCCATTTTTATTGATCTTACATAAGCTGCTTTGGAAGCTTTCTGGGCCAAAGTGCAGGATTAAAATGTTGGGAATAAATAAAACATACAGGAACTATATCTTCGTTGGTCATTCTGCACTGTAATCACTTCTTTATAAATTTGTTCCAATTGATAGAGCTGTGTGAGGGAAAGGAAAAGCAGCCACAGCAGGTGAGTTAAAAGCTAAATCAGCTTATAATCGTTAATCATATTAGACAAGCATACTGAAACCATGCTAGAACACAAAACTTTAAAAACAGTCTGCTGGTTGCATTTCTTTTTTACTTACCAGATTTGTAATCTAATTTTCTTTCCTCTTAGCTCTACTGTTTTGATTTTAAAATCAACACCTATAAATAAAATACAGTAAACAAAAGAGGAGGAATAAGAAGCAAAAGCAATACAGGTATGACTTAATTTAATTTTGTACCTGTTCATGTAGCAACAATCAGAATAGTGGGAATTCTACCACCTCGGGCCACCATAAATGGGCAAGAAAGAGGCAAAGGATATGCATTTCTTAAAGAACTCCATATGGCGTTGACTTGCAATCTCACTGGAAATGTTTTCTGGGCTTGTTTAACCCAAACTAGATGTCCCTGCTGTCTTCACCAATTTCTACGGACTACTTTTTTTGATGTGTGCCTTCAGTTCCTGCATCCTTTAGTGTCATTTGTCCCAGACTTACTACCACAGGCATACTTTCCTTATTTCTTAAAGGAACTTTAATTTATTGTGCCCATAATGCTTCAATGGCAGGGACTTCTATTAGATTCTGGGCAATAGCTATCTGTACAATAATATACAGAATTATCTTCCTTGAAGGGTGTACCTACCTACCTACCTACCTATCTATCTCTAATCTATCTTATACCATGATAAAAGTATTGTAAATAGCACATAGAAATTATAGTTAAACTTTCTAGGGAAAATCTGATTTTAAGATTGCACTGCACATGGATGGGCTACACTGTCAGCCATTCAGGCAACTGATAGCCAGCCTTACTTTTTCATACAATGTCTATTCATGAATATGCACAGCTGACAGAAAATGTTATTACTGACCATGTACAATATATCATGCACAGAGACAATACCTTCCAATGCACATAAAATAAGAAGCAAACAAATCAGAGACATTTTCACATATTTAAGTTTAAATTACATTGTTTCCTTGCACCAAGTTGTGATCCCAAGAGGTCTTTAGACCTTTGCTTCTTCAGTGACACTGCACACATGAGCTTCCACCTGTCTCTGTCACAACAGAAGTTTTGAAATGAATGCGCGATATGGCATAATGGCTTGCTTAAACGCACTGGATAAATGCAAGACAGGGATGTGCTTGATTATGCTCTTGGGTCTCAACCACATTATATAGCTATTTTGTTTTTACAGATCTTTGTAAAATGCTAGGAGGGCAACCAAGTGCAGCAGCCTAAGCAAGGCAGGATAAGACACTTATAGGAAACAAACCACCAACCAAGCACACACGTGTGCACATACACCCTTGTCTAGGCTAAGAAGTGGCCCCCAAAACTGGGTGAGATAGAGCAGTGTATGTTCATTTGCCTCATAATTAAAGAAGCAGTACTTGTGGCTGCTTCTGTTTGCAACCCCTTCTGTGAAACAGCGACAAAGGCTACACATGCAATGTCCAGAATAAAAACTCTCTGCTCTGAGGGCCGTGCAGTCGTGTGTCTCCCCCAAAATGTTCCACACACTGCTTCCAAAAAGTTCCTATTCCAATCCTGGTCAGGTTTCTGAACCAGTAGCGCTATGGACAGTGCCCATGGCTGAGGTGTTTCTAGCTTCCTAGACTTAAGAACATGTATCTTTAAAGTGTGAGAGGAAGAAAGGGAGGAAATTTACTTTTCTAGAAAAGAGTTAATAACAGGTGTCTTTCCTTGCTCTTGCAAGAGAGGAAATGCATGGCTTATTCTGCCACTCTACTTGATTTGGTCTAATAAGCCTTTTCACCAAATGGCTGTAGTAGCAAAGTGTCAGACTTGCAATGCAGAGTGTTCCAATACAGATATCAAATTATGACACATCTTATCACAGTAGAACCAAATAACAACACTTCATGCTTACTGAATCCCTTAGAGCACAAAACTCATACATTCTTACTCTTCTTGGTCTCTAAATTTAACACTATCTTTTTTCACAAATACATAATTCAGGCAACTGATCAGTTATTTGTTCTTTGTAAGCCATCCAGAGACTTTTAGTAATGGGATGGCATACAAAAACTTTAAATAAATAAATAAATGTGCTTTTGAGTAATGCATTAATTTTTCAACCTAAATTCTAAATTCAAAGTTATTTTAAATTCAAAATCTTTCCCCAGATCTTTCATTATGGTTGGATTTCATAATAAACTTATCTAGGAATGAGCCTGACAGAATTTCTAAGTAGACATGTACATCTCACACTTTATATATAAATATCCTATGCTAAGCAACAATGTAGCAAGGTGAGATAGCTAAAGAACAGAACAGGAGCCTGGCAAAATCACAAGCTACAATGTTCTGCTTACTGAAACTTTTATTTTCAATTGGATACATTCTTATTTATTAACACAAATCCTATATGTTGCAGTGGGATATAAAACTAGTCATATTCTACCAGGGTCATTGATAACGAAGAAGTTCAAAGATTTTTCACTATCACAGGGTTCAAGTAGTACAGTCCTCTTTTAAATGCAGAAAGATGTAACGAGAGAATGTTAGAACTAACTTTAATGTGCAGTCCAACTGAAGGAAACCTTCATGCCCTTTGTTAACTTTTCTTTATTCTCCACAACTGAAAATCACCAATAATCTTCTAAGCAAAGAAGCAAAAAACTATTTTTCTAAGATGAAACTCCCTACTTGTTTTGATTCATCTGATACTATTTCAGCTGTTTACAGCTTGACAACTCTCTTCTCTCATTACCAAACAGAAGCTCATTTACTATACTTAGCTCCCTCCATCTAGTTCACTTTTTCTTTTTTTAGCTCTCACAGATGACTCAATTCTGAATAAATGGTTGCACTGGCTACCTATTTGTTTTTGGACACAATTCAAGGTTATTACCTATAAAGCTTTGAGAACTAGCTATCTAAAGGATACTTATGGCAATCACTGGAGGTCTTTCTCTATGTTTTGTAGTCAACAAAGCTGCAGTAATGTAAGACAGTGCTTTCTCAGTGGCATCACCCTAGTCGTGGAATTCTCTCCCAAGACTCCCCTCACTGATGGCTTTCAGCTGGATGTGGAAGAAACTTGTATTCCATCAGGCTTTTAACTGTTTTTAACCTATGGTGATTGTCTCTTTCTGTTTTACTTAGCTTTTGCTGTAGTTTTACTGTTTGCATTTTTTTATTCTTTGAAGATTATTTTATTGTTACAAACCATCACTGGTCAAACAAGCAGCACATAAACACATAAAATAAATCCATGAACAAGCATCAGGGCTCAAGTTGCATGCTAGCTTTGATGCAAAGATCCTGGCTTGCATTAAGTCACAGTTCCACATTTTGTCCGATATAAAAGAACTCTGGGCTTGATATAAGCATCATACTGAAGCTAGCATGCAATGGGAGTAGGAATACTTGGTCCTGATGTTTTTTCACAGCTTACAAAGCCTGGAATGATCACACAAATCATAATTAGCCTGGACTACACATCTCTTCTCTAGTGTGTGCAAAGTGCTTATAACAAGATAAGAACAACCCAACAGCTCTACACACATGACTGTTGGGTGGCCTAACTGGCATGGACATTGCATCCCTCTTATATGCAAGCAGGAAGACTTTTAGAGAACAGTGTTTATTAAGCTTGCTCAATTTGTAACATGTATTGGCTTATCACATATAATCTGGAGGTGAGCAGGAAGGAAGCATATGATTTTGACTGCTCTAGATTTTAGAAGGCACCTTTAATTTTTTTGATCTTAGAAAACATTGACTAGAAACAGGTTAGAAATTTTTCAAGATAACTACAAAGCCAAAATAAGATGCCTCTGTCCTGATCTCTGGTGACTAGTCACTATGCATTAACTTCCACAATCCTTGCTTCCAGTTTCTAAAATTAGAACACATATGACAGCTAGTAAGTTATTATTATAAGTAACAAACAGAGCAATCCTACACTTGTGTAACTCAGAAGTAAACGCCACTAAGTTCAAAGTGACCTACTCTAAGGAAAGTGAGTAAAAGTTTGCACCTGAGCTCTCACTCAAGAAGGCGATGTATGTGAGGGCATGCATATGCGTGAATTTGTTGTCTTCAAATATTATTTTCAATAAAAATAATTTTTAAAATTAGTGTTTAACCGTCTCTTTCCTGTTCCTGAACCTGCAACCAGTCAAGTGTTCAGGAAGCAGGAAGCAAAACAAAGAGTTGCTTACTAGCTAGTCCCAATCCTCTCCTGCCCACATAGATATTTCCTTTTTATTTGCTCTTCATTCCACACTTTCAGCCTTACCATTCCTCTCCTCAACTCCCTTTCTCACTATTTCTTTCCCTTCCCTGTCTTTATCCTTCCTGCTTTTCCTTCCTAGCCTTGTTCCTACACTCCTACTCAACCTCCTTATCACATGCTTTCTCTCCTTTCACAAACTCTGGCCTTATTTCTTTCTATGGCACATCTTTACCTGTATGTCTCTCACTATTTCCTCCTACCTCCCAGTCCCCAACCTTGCCCTCCACTGCACCCCCATTCCCTTACCTTTCTTCCTCCTACCCCGTAGTACTGCTTTTTTCCTTGCTTTTCTGCCCTTTCTCACATTTTTCACACACATGCACAGGCATCACCTTCACTTGGCAGAGGTGGAAGTAGGAATACCAAGTGAAGAGGATGTGTGACCTTGGGATTGGGGTTGGGATTTTTTTTTCTTTCCTTTTAGGGCTGTAGGCATTTTCTATTTCTTTGGGGATAGGGAAAGTTCAAAGCAAACATGCACAGGATCACAATATTAAATAGGTATTTGGTTATGCCTTGCAGGGTCAAATATGTGGATCAGATTTGGAATTTCTCTGTTTGCACTCAGCTTGGGAGTTAATTATTTATCTTCTACTAGTCAGGCTCGTATGGCAGCCATTACATGACTAGCCACAACATCCATGGGAATCATTTTGTTGCAGTGCCCACAGTAGCATGTCGTATTCCCAGATGTGCCATGGACTCCTTGGTGTAAACTGTGTGATACAACTAATGTACCAGGCACAAAATAGGATCAAATAGCTAAAGCCTGTTCTCAAGCACTGGCATTTACTTTGCCTGGACATGCAGGAGCTAGTAAAGTAACTTATAACTAATTTATAACCAAGTAAGCATGAAATTATACACATCATGTGAGAAGCAGTTTTAAGTGAGTACTGATCCAAGATATTTATCTTAGCCTGCTCTAAGATTAGAAGAATATTAGCAAAGATTCTCTATAATTCTGGGCACTGACAACTTTAAAAACATTTAATGATTTTCTTTAAAAAAAGTATATTGATATGTCATTTAATTGCTATAAAACCGAGTTTAACTTCAGGGCAGTTAAACTCAATAAAGACTGTAAATAGTTTCAAGAAATGCTGAAAAAAGGTCAAGCAGGATCTACTTATTATCTTCAAAGTTAGGAAAGCACCTTCAACTTCTACCTGAAGTTTCTTTGCAACCAATTACAGCTTACTTGAACATTTCATGTTCCATAAGTAATTTCAAGTACTTTGGGAAATACAGCAAGACCCTCTCTTCCCAACCAAATCTTCATTTGCTTACTCCAAGGATTTACACTAAAATAATTAGATTCTGCTAAAGGAATTATGACATGCTAGAATGATCTAAGGTGCATCTTTTTGCTTTCTGACTGGTATTACACATCACTGACTTTTCAAGTGCTTTCTGGACATGGGGGTAGTGCTTCATTGACACATTAGGCATATCTTAAAGAGATCTGTAACAGCAAATTCCCTCCACACACCCCCAAACAACAACAACAACAACCCTTGCTTGTTACTAAAATGCAGACACATATACTGTGTGTTCTGGAGCACATTCAGTTTGCACATGGCAATGATGAGACTGGTAAATTTCTTGCATGAACTGAGTGACTGGTAATGTAGAAATGCAGGGGTTTCAAAAGCTCTTCAAGCAGATAAGTGGATGTGGAAAGGATTCTCTGAAAGTAGAACATCTGTAAGCCACTAATTATAAAATTAACTTATCAAGTTCTTCAGCTTCTACTATAATGACTTTTAATGAAATAAGCCAGATATCCTAAACACATTTACCAGGCTATAAGTGAACATGGTGGAAGTAACCTCTGAGTAAGTATGTACATATTTACACTATGAGAATTCCAAGTTTTCATTAAGAATGTCTGGGCTACAAAGAAGTATCTCAAGAGCCACATGTTTCTGAAAGTGCATTTTATATGTTTCTGATAGAGGTGCTGGTAACCTCAAGAATGGATAACTGTAATGTGCTCTGTGCCTGGTCCTTAAAGCTGCTTTGGAAACTGAAGCTAGTGCAGTATGCAACAGTTTGACTGTTTATGACAGCTGCTTCTTTTCAGCATGCACGTATTCTGTGGAAGGAAATGCACTGCCTACCTGTTCACTATCAGGCCAGGTTTCAAGATTTCTAACTGGTGTGCAAAGCCCTGAACAACTTGGGACAAGGATACCTGAGCAAGCACCTCCCCCTTACCAATCTGCCCAGTCACTGAAGTCATCAGAGGTCATTCTCCTGGTGGTTCCACATGGGCTCATGGTTTGTCTGCAGTCCACCAGGATCAGAGCCTTCAATGTGGTAGCTCCATGTTAATATCATTCTTTGCCTCAGGAAATAAGAGAGGCATCAACATTGTGCTTTTTTTGTCACCTACTGAAGACACATTTGTTCCAGGAAGTCTCTCTTGGTAGCTAGCCACCCTTTCAATACTATCTTGCTTTTAATGTATTGTATTTATTCTTTTATCTGTTTTAATTTTGTACTGTTCACCATTCTGGATCTATTTGGATGTGGAGTAATACACAAAAATATAAATGAACATTGACATTCTGCTATTCAGAAGATTCTGCCAGTGCAGTAGTCTTCATATTGTCACTGCTCGTCTTTAAAGATACTACCTATAACTTTTAAGAACACCTTAAAAACTTTAAACTCTGATTCAATGAGATTTTTTTCACTGGAACATAGGAAGCTGCCTTATACTGAATCAGATCATGGGATCCATCTAGCCTAGTACTCTCAACACTGACTGGCAGTAGCTCTCCAAGGTTTCAGGCAGGATTTTTTCCTGCCCTACCTGGAGATACTGGGGGTTGACCCTGTGCCTTTCTACACACTAAACATGTACTCTACTCTATCCTATGTTTCTTCTACTAAGCCAACATGTAGAAAGTATGTATCTGCCAAAAGCAATAAGTTATCAAGGAGAGAAAGAGAGTCACAGAACATATCTGTAACATGGACAGAGACTTTATGGTCTTTAATGGAATTCTACAGATGCCAGTTAGTCTTTCAAAAAAGAAATGAGTGCAAGGGGTCCTCTGAGGTCAACATATCTGATTTTCTGAATAGTGGTTGTAATAGCATTTCATGCAGCTAACCCAACCCTAAGATTTCTAAAACATGACTGACTGCAAACACTGCACATTCATCCACAGATAGGGAACAATTCTATAAAAGAGTAATTGTTCCTAATTTTCCCATGTCCAATTGTAATATCCTGCAAGTTACCACTGAAGGAAACCATTCTATAATTATAATAATTCTTACATGAAAAGGAAAAGTTTTTCCTACCATCATGGATAAGGAACAGAACCTGAGCAGTAGCAAAACCCCTCACACCATCAATAGCTTTATATGCCATGGATATGTCTTGCCTTTTCAAAATCCAAGTTGGCTGGCATCCCTACCACACTATGAAGAAGCACAATCCAAAATCTGTCTGTGCTCCATGTAAAGCAGTACTTCTTTTCTCTATTCACCTTCTCTACATGATACATACTTATACATACTTCTATTGTATCAGCCATTAGCTGACTTTCTTCTAAGATAGAACACCAAATATATTCTAATCCTTTTTCACAAGGGATATACCTTATCCAATTAATTATTTTGACTTTTCCTTTTCTGGCTAAACGGTATTTTTTGGTGTGCAACAACCAGAATAGTTCATTATCTTCCAAATGTGGTCACATCCATAGAATTGCATAAAGGGATTATGATAGTGCCAGTTTTATTTTCAGTTTCTTTTCCAATACTCCCCAGAATAGAATCTACCTTTGCACAGAAGCCACATACTGGGTCTACATTTCAACTATCTCCCACAATCCCAAGATTTATTCTGGGGTTAATCACTACCAATTGAGCTCAACGGGGAGTGGAAAATGGTGAATATTCCTTTTCCTTTATGAGAAAGAGAAGGGCACCAACCCAGAAAGCTAACACCGAAATTCACTTGCATAGGAACCAGTAACATCATACTTCCTAGCCCAACTTCCTAAGGAGGAACTTACAGCCTGACAAAAATCCGTCCCAGTCTGATTTCGATGTGGCATCACAGCGAACAGAACGGAGAAGGTGGATTAAGAAAGCAAAGAGGGCAGCAGGAGCAAATCCAAGTCCCACTGGATCACCCTAAGTTAAAAAGCAAACAAACCAGAAACACCCTAACCCCACAGGCATCAATTAACCGGCCCTCCCTTCCCCTTCCCCTTCCCCTTCCCCTACAGCACCGACACGGTCCCGCACCCTTCGCCCCGCGGCTCCAGGGGCCCTTCGCCTCCTCCCCCGCCCGCCCGCCCGCCCGCCTCCCTGCCTCCCGGCCGCGCCGACCGGCCTCAGCGTACCTACGGTGGACTTGCAGGCCTCGCAGAAGGTATCGTCGGTGAAGCGCTCCATCAGGCTGGTCTTGCCGACGCCGCGGGAGCCGATGATGATCACCTGCAGCTTGAAGTCCGCCGGGCGCGGCGGCTGCTTCCTGCGGCGGGCCAGAGGCCCCGAGAGCGCGGGAGAGCCCCCGGCCGAGCCCAGGCCGCCGCCGCCGCCGCCGCCGCCGCCGCCGAGCCCCGGCCCCCGCCGCTGCAGCCCCGAGCCCGGCTCCATCCACTCATGCGGCTCGCGCGCCCCGCTACCCGCCACCTCAGTCAGGGCCCGGCCCAGGCCCGGCCGCCCTCGCTCGCCCTCTCCCACCGCGTCCTGCCCGGCCTGGGAAGGGGAACCGGGGCTCCAGCCAGTCTGCGCGGCCGCCCGGACGACGAGCGCGCCTCCCTGTGGGCCAGAGGCGCCCTGAGTCACACGGCGGGCACAGCGCCCTCTACGGGTCGGGAGGAGGACTCGGCGCGGTCACCTTGGGCGGGAAAGGCGGCCGGGCGCCGCAGATCGCGCTCCCGCCCGCCGCCTGCCTGTCTGTCAGTGGCGCCGGCGTTCCTGCAGAGACGGAGGCAGCTGGATCGGGTGCAGTGAATCAACCGAACTCTACCAGTTGAATTTCTGCCCTGCACATGGTGATCCGCCTGGTCAAAGAAGTCTCAGTCGATTCACTGTAATGTGTAAAATCATTTACTGTTCATGCGCCCCTGCCAGCCACTGTTGAGGTCAGTGGGGCTCTGCCCGGTGCGTGGCAAGGATCTGCCATCTTTGACCAATAAACTGGCATCTGACCAAACAAGGGCGGGGAAGAAAAAGGCCTCGTGCTTTTTGACCACATTGCTGTTTTAGACACCAGGCACTGTGTACAGTGGACAGCAGGGGGGATTCTGTGGGGCTGCCTATTGCCCTTATATTTCATATTGTCAGGCACAAGTCTATAACGCTGCTGCCCAGTAAATCAATAGTGCCCCCCCCTTTTTTTTACAAAACAAAAACATCACTTTCCTAGGGGGTCGCCATCTTTTAACCTGCTACTTTACCAGGCTTCTGCTTCTGCATTCTTGGTGAGATTAAGATCAGCTCCTCTGCTCTCCTCTCCTCTCTTCTCCTCTCCTCTCCTCTCCTCTCCAGGAGGATTTCTTTCTTGGCCTTCCTAAATGCTCCATTGCACAATCACAAGGTAGCACTGAAGTTATAACACAATTGCCAAAATGCAAGGTTTGTTCTAGCACAATGTAGCTTGATAGCCAGATAATAGCTCACTGCCCTCTCTCTAAAAAAGGGGCAGGAGAATCCCTGGGAAACACCGACAAACTACTGTGAATGGGGAATCACAAGGAACACAAAAATGCCTTGTGTGGAGAAGCCCTAAAGCAACTTGATCAGCTGATGCTAACTGATTATAATGTTTATCTGCTTGTCAGGAATAGCTTCCGTATGTTCAAAGCTTAGTTTGGAAACTTCACCCCCAACTGTTATTTTGAGCCCAAGGATTGATTTCCATTTAAAGAAGGTCTTGAAATCCTCATTCTAGTGGTGGGCTTGGACAAAAGTGAGTAAGGCTGAAAAATTAAGAAGACCACCCTCACAAAAATAAATAAAATCATTTGCTACCAATTTATAGTAGGCAACAAAGAAAGACTCTGGTGCTACTTAATCTGTCTTTGCATTAAAATGGTTTTGAAGTAAAAGACATTTTTCTGCCTTAAAGTTTCATGTGTGCATCATTGGTTCAAATGTGGTAGAGCCACCCACAGTCTCTGTGGTCCTCAGATTTGCATGGCTGCTGCAGGGGCTCACTGCCTTGTACGCGAAGCCTTCCGGGTCATGGCAACATGGGGGGGGCCAAGGAGGGGGCTGTTGATTGCCTAGGGTCTGCAGATGCTGGTGAGGCCAGGACTTCCATAACTTGCTTTCTGGTACTTCACTGGTGACCTTACACCAGTCCTGCACTAGCTTCCCATTTGCTTCCAGGCACATACAAATTAGTATGTTCTACCTGTAAAGCTCTACATGGTTTTGGGCCTGGGTATGTGCTCCTCAAATATGAATCTGCAGCTTAATGTCTTTGTTGTATGTTCTACCAATACACTGGCCAGTTGGTGGGAGTATGAGAAAAGGCCTTTTCTACAGTGGCAGAAAACAGTTCCAAGCCATCAAGCCCTCTTTGTTCTGCACAGCTTTAAGCTTATTTCAAATGTAATTAATTCTGCTCTGCACTTTTTAGATGTCATCATTCTTAAATCTATTATTGTCAGTTTTGTTGATATTGTTATCTATGTTCCTTTACTGCCCAGTAGCCAAAGCTGTACAACTTATTGTTGTAAGTTTTGAAGAATGAACACTTCATCCTTTGATTGTGTTGACTGAACCAAAGTGCCACCATGGAGTCAGCAAGCAGCCAGAAGGGCTGGAATTGACAAGATCAGCATTCTGATCTGATCAGATACAGTGTCACTAGTCAGCTAATCCTGATTGATACCTCGTTAAGAAAGGCAACAACGTTACAAATGTGGTTTCTTGTGTGTCAGCTTGTTAAGACAAGGAAATCGTTTTACCTTTCCAGTTTCCTTGTTCCGGACACTGCTTTTCTCATGCAGATTCTAGTCCGTTTTGATTTCTTTCTCTATCTTTGTGATTTCTATATCAGAGTTTCTAGGATACCACATGTCTAGTATAGCAAATACCTGCATGACTGGAACCTTATAAAAGTATCCTGTACAATGTATGGCGTTGTAGTCACTTGAGGGCTACCTGCATGCATGCATTCCTGTATGTTGCATAAAGTGTATGTTCCTTTGGTTGCACACACCTGGGGTGCCTGCCTTTGTGGGTCTTCTCGATTGTGTCTTTCGTGCCCCAAACCAGAGCCTTAAGAGCATGCAGCACAGAGCAGGAGGCATGGAAGAGGTGCCTCCACACACCTCTCACGCTGCATTTTGGTGAAATGGCAGATTTTGGCCATCTAGTCAAGATGCTTCAGCGGGGCAGGGAAGGAGGTCTGGATGCCATCAGGATAACTCGTCCTGTGGCAGCTTCAGTCTTCTCCCTTCCTGATTCCCCCAAATGCCCCCTCTACCTCCTCTCTGCACCAGCTGGAAGGGGAGAGGGAGATCAGAAGGTTGATTCCCTCTCAGAGGTCAGAACTCTCTTCTGACCTTGGACCTGGGAACCCAGCACTCCTATCATAATGTCAACATGCCATAGGATTGCTCTCAAAGTTTTTCTTTTTCAACTAAGTCACCTTGGGGGCTTTTGGGGTCTGGAAGCAGCTAAATATATTTATTTATTTATTTATTTATTTATTATTTGCATTTATATACCACCCTAATAGCCCAGAGGGCTCTCTGCATGGTTTATAAATAAATGATTGTATAAATTGTTGTAAGCCTCCCCGAGGGTTCGGCGAATGGGGCAGCATAAAAATGTTTTAATAAATAAATAAATAAGTACAAATAAAAGAGGCAGAAGTTTCAGTGATGAATACTTGAAATCCATGCCTCTTCTCATAGGTTTTTAAAAACTGGCCGCTATAATTGTGCCTTTAATGGCACACTGGCAGGCATTAGCAGGTGGTATTTTTATTGTCATATATTGGAAAGTCTTACGTTACATTTGTTGTGCATTAAGCTGCTGATAAAGGCACATTTTTTGCCCATTTCCAACCATATTTCTAGTTTCCCTACCTGCCATTGCAATGGCCCTTGAACAAAAAATGGCAGAAGAAAAGGAGGTAGCAACTGCCAACATCTCCTTTGTACCTTTTCTATGGAATCCCACATGGGAAGCTGGGGAATTGACCTCTAAGACATAAAGTTTGGATTATATTTGTAATTATTTTGTTGGAGAAACAATCAATAAGTCAACAGGTCATAAAATCTGAGTGCTGCTATTTTCATGACATATTAAGTCAGTATTTGACAGCACTTGAGGACCTGGGGATAAAAGCTGACAGCATGTCTGCAGCTATAAGAGAAAAGAACAAAAACATTTGAACTTTTAAAATGCCAACCCAATAAACAGGATTTAAAAATGACAGCGGAATGGTGCTTCTCAGTTTTTCTGCAGCAGAAGCCATCTCTTCGGTTCCCACAGGCAGATATAAATCAAGCATCTGGGGGAACAGTATAAATACATCTTACAGCAATAATATTAAGTATACCATCATAAATTTGAGTTTATATCCTTTAAAAAAACCCATTGCATTTCATCAGTGTGGTGTAGTTAAAGAGCATATGGACCTCACTTTTTATTTGCTTGCTTTGAGATCCATCTGTCTTTTGAAAATTACCTTCTTGTTGCTGAGTTAACATTATAATAATAAATTATTTCTGAATCTCTGTGAAGCTTTTATGGAAATAGCTTATGTGTCAACAAAATTGCTTGCTGCAGCATTTGTAGCTTAGTTATCAGGTGGCTCGCATCCGTTACAGTAACAGGTGGGATGCTGTATTTATAGATGTGGCAGCAATGCTCACATTTTCACAACAATCATACATTTTTTCCATAAAATTACAGTCTAAGGAATCATGATCCATTTCTGGCCAAATGTCCAGGGAATTGAAATAATCTGCGTATGGAGTGTCACATGGTCACTTATAACAATCATGTGTTTTTTCATAAAAGCATCAGATCTACACCATTCATGGACTAAACACTGAGTGATCATATTTCATTAGGTTGGTCCATGTGCAAGGAATTGACGGCCACACTGGCAGCTACCCCAGCTATTGCCCTTTGGTTGCAGAACTGCATCCAGACAGTCCCTGCCATGGCTCTCTGCAGAGCCCACCCATTCCAAATGGCTCGGTCCGTGGGGGTTCTTCCTTCGATCAAGGCATTGGCAGAGAGGTGAGCTTTGAGATTGTCTGTGCTGCCATGACACCGTCTCCATGGCCACCTCCCTGCTGTTGCCCCTCTCTGAGAAAAGGCCCCTCAAACTGAAGTGTTGAAGGAGAAGCCGCTCATGTTCCCCTGGCAGCCAGCCACGCACAGCAATGGCTCCTCTTCCCCGCACCTGGTGGCACTTATGGCAGCAGCGAGTGCTCCCTTTGCCCCTGGTAGTCGTGCGAGCACTTTGCACGCTTCCCTTTCAGCGGCATGTCCCTTGGCGGTGGGAGGTCTTGCACTGGCTCTGCCACTCGTCTACGATGTGTTAACCCCTATATGCTAGCTTTTGATGTTAATACGTAACATTTGCACTCATGCACGGACACACACACTAGACAGGGTCAAAGAAGCCCAGATCTGTGTACCTAGGATAGCTTGAAGTAGCACCATTTTTTTCTTGCCAGTTGAAAAATGCTAGAAATTGCAGTAATTGGTCACCAGAGGGAGCACAGCTGTTGCTAGATGTAAAATCTGTGAAG